TTTTTGAAAAAAAAAATTTTTTTTTGGAGACAGAGTCTCGCTCTGTAGGCTGGAGTGCAGTGGCATGATCTTTGCTCACTGCAACCTCCAAGTTCAAGCAATCCTCCTTTACCTCAGCCTCCCGAGTAGCTGGGATTACCGGCATGCACCACCACAGCCGACTAATTTTTGTGTTTTTAGTAGAGATGGGGTTTCACCATGGTGGTCTCAAACTCCTGGCCTCAAGTGATTCACGTGTCTTAGCCTCCCAAAGTCCTGGGATTACAGGCATGAGCCACCATGCCCGGCCAGGATGTTAACTATTCTTAAAGAATGGTTAGATATGCAGAGGAGTTTGGGCTTCTTCATGAAGCTGACAGGGAGTTACTGAAGAAGACAAAGCCAGAGCAAAGTGACCAGAGTAAGGGGTGGGGGTAAGCCTAGAGGACGAGGATGGGTGAGGAGGCTGCCACAGGTCCAGGGTAGGGGGCAGGGGAAGATGGTCCCTGACTGGGGTGGTGGCAGTGAAGGATTTTTGAGATATGTTGGTGGTAAATGCAGCAAGGCTTGGTGGTTGATGGGAAGTGGATGAGAAGGGAGAGAGCTAATAAGGATGACTCACAGGTCTCTCCTTGGGCTGCCGGGTGGTCACAGTGCCGTACGCAGAGAGAGGTGGTGGAAGAGGAGGTGGAGGCTTTGAGGAACAAGATAATGAGTCTGAGATTCAAGGGTTGGGCAACCAGATGAGAAAAGCTGAGCGATGGAAGATTAGGGTTCTGTGTAGAGATTGAGAAACATCCAGCTTCAGGGCAGTCTGCAGCACATTTGAGTGGAGCGCTGAACAGAAATGCTGTTTTAGAAAAGGGAGGCGAAGGGTATGGATCATACTCACTGCTTCACACTCTGAGACTCACTCACTGTCATGGCACAGGGCGGTGCGTGGCAGTCCGTCTGTGGCTTTTACGGGTTTCAAAGCAGTTGTCCCCACCCCTCTAAGGGAGGGATAAAGGGAAATGGCCCTGCATGCTTTCTTATCCATCATGACTGAAAGGAAGAATTTTTCCTAAGGATTTTACTGAATGGAAAAAAATAGATGCCCTTTCCTCCTCCTCCTCCTCCTCCTCCTCCCCC